GAAACTGCATTAATTGAGACCGAATGTTGAAAGGACCTGGGTGTGTGTATCGACAATGAACTTAGTTATCGGGCCATTGTGAGAAAAAGGTGAATCAGGCAACGAAAATAGTAGGTCTTTATAAGAAGGTCGTTTAGATATCTGGCTCGTCCGTCACTTGTCACGATCTTCAAGAGTGGGGTGCTTCCCCGTCTGAAGTATTGTCAGCCCGCCTGGTCCCCGATGTATACTAGAGATTTTCAATTGATTAAATATGTCCAAAGGAGCGCCACCAGACTGGTTTCTGCTCTACGGAACCTCAGTTACCCAGAAAGATTGGAACGCCTGCAACTACCTATAGCTTATACTACAGACGGGCGAGGGGCGACCTAATCGAAGTGTATAAACATCTCAGGGGGCACTACTCGGTTGAATGTACGTACCTGGAGCTGGCGGAAGTCCGCCCCACAAGGGGTCACAGCTCAAGGTTAAAGAAGCCACAAGTCCCGAAAACTGTGAGGCAAATTTTTTCGATCAGAATTGTGAACTCTTGGAACAATCTGCCGGAGAGCGTTGTGGCGGCACCGAGTGTAAGCTCATTCAAGGCCAGACTTGACCAACACTGGAGCAGGTTCCGATATATTCAGGAGCCAGTGCATGCCCAGTATCTGCCAACAGTGCGTATCAGAGACGTGACCGATCGCCCAAGCGGCTAACGAGCTGATCAGTGGCGAAGAGGATAAAAGTAAAAGTAAAAAAGTAAAGGATAACAAGGAGGGTTAGCAGCATTCCTTTTGTTTAGACAATGTTCCAGTACGCTGTGCATTTGAGCTGATTTGACAATTCATCAAATAAATAATGATTTCTTCGCTCTTCACCAGTCATTGGCTGATGAAGGTTTGCAGTATTTCTGAGATCAAGGCATTGTACTGTACATTTCCTTAAAAGTGAGAGCACAGCATAGTAACATGATAAAAGAAAACGTATACTTTTTCATTTTAATGGGTGACTTGCCTAGGTTGTGCAGAAGCGGAATGGTCATAAGAAATTGAGAAACTACCAGTCAGTCCAACATAAAATTACTCTAACACTAATTTATTTACTACTACAAAGTATACAATGATTTTCCTGAAATGTAAGCAATATAGCATACCCAAGAACCTTGATTACCCTAGATTTTGCAAAAATTTTGCATACCCTAAATTTCACCCTTAAGAAAGTCTGATTATATACCCAAAAGTGGGGTATTTTATCCCAAAGTGGAAACACTAGTGTGTGTGATTGTGACGGGATTTTTCGTTAAACTCCAAATCGAAACCAGTCATGGAATCTCGTTCTGATTGCGCCCATTAAATGCGGCCCGAGATTGCCTAGCTTATACTACAGACGGGCAAGAGGAAACCTAATTGAGGTGTACAAGCATCTCAAAGGGCACTCTTAAGTCGAGTGCCCTTACCTGGAGCTGGCGGACGCTCGCCCCACAAGGGGTCACAGCTCAAGGTTGAAGAAGTAGCAAGTCCAGAAAACTGTGAGGAGTAACTTTTTCGGAGTAAGAGTTGTGAACTCTTGGAACAATCTGCCAGAAAGTGTTGTGACGGCACCGAGTGTGAGCTCTTTCAAGACCAGACTTGACAAGCACTGGAGCAGGTTCAAGTACATTTAGGAACTGGGGCATGCCCAGTACTTGCCAACAGTGCGTAACCGCGACGTCCTCGGTGTTCACAAGAGAGGATGTGATTAACCTTCCTGCGTTTGAGGACAGACGGTTCGACACAGCACTGACCCACATTGTGTTCACAGAAGATGGTATTAGAAATTAACTGTCAAAACTAAAGGTCCATAAGAGTCCTGGCCCTGACATGGTGCATCCTAGAGTGCTAAGAGAGTTGTGCAACGAGCTAGCCGAGCCCTGAAGATCCTGTTTTGTAAATGCCTGGATGAACAAAAGGTTCCCAGTGAATGGAAAGTGGCTTATGTGAGTCCTATCTTCAAAAAGGGCGATCGTCACTCCACGAACAACTATAGACCGGTGAGTCTGACCAGCATAATATGTAAAGTACTTGAGAGTATTATCAGAGATGCCGCGATGGAACATCTACTACGAAACAACCTTGTAAAGGATTGCCAACGCGGTTTTATGCCGGGGCGCTCCTGCTTAACACAATTGCTCAAGGTATTGGATAATTGGACCCATATTCTGGAACGGGGTGGTAATATCGACAATATTTACCTAGATTTTGCCAAGGCTTTCGACAGTGTACTCCACGAAAGGCTGAAAATCAAACTGGAAGGGTACGGAATTCGGGGAAATGTCCTAGCGTGGATAGAAGACTTTCTACATGACCGCAAGCAGTGTGCTGTGATTAATGGCACGAAATCATCATCATCAGTACCGGTCACAAGCCGGGTACCACAGGGCAGTGTACTGGGCCCGCTGTTGTTTGTTTGTTTCATAAATGACATGCCTAACGTGTACACTCCTCCATACAAATGTTTGCCGATGACGCCAAGTTATTTCGGGAAATCAAGAACCAAGCGGGCTGTGAAGAGCTTGCAGAAGGACCTCTGTGGGCTTCAAGAATGGTCGAAGAAATGGCTGCTGAAATTCAATGTAAAAGGTTGTTGGCAACTATCCAGTTCGCTCCGTCCCCTGTGGCTGCTCCCCTAAGCGTACCTCCCCACGAACTGCGCGTATGTTTATCATTTTTTTTCTGTTAAACAATGATTTGCGATATATCTAACCCTTACAAACTGTAGGTATGTTTGGTGTTATTTGTTTCTGTTTGCTTTCTGTTTGCTACAAAACAAAGAAATGATATAGGCTTTATCCGAATGCAACTTTTGTCCTTGACTTCGACCGTTCGTAATACTTACATATTTTAACATTTTTGGCATCCTCTTTGAAGTGCTAATGCCTTGAAATCATTTGCATTTTTATGTTCGTAATTTTAACATTATTATTGAGAAGAACAGGTCTAATTATAAATTGTGAACATATTAGTATGATAAATGCAGAGGTAAACGAACATTTTTTATGGACCAATCTGCTACTTTTTAGCTTAGAAAGGGGGCGTGGCTTCTGGGCCAAGCTAGTGTAAAGTGAGTATAGTTACAGACACAACAAGAGTACCATAATGAAAACAAGAGTGCTATAATCAACATAACAAGGGTTCTTTTTATTTTCTGATTTTGCAAGGTGGCCATATTGGATTTCATGCGGTTTGATGCATGGTATGAGCCTGTAACTATGTTTGATTGATTCCTTGGGGTCGAAAACACGGGTCTAGACATAAAAAAAAATCTAGGTGGTTTACTAAGGAAAATATTCTTGATTTAAGAACATAAGAACATAAGAATGGAGGAAACTACAGCGGGCCTATTGGCCCATACTGGGCAGTCCCGTTTACACCCAACCCCTATTGCTCATATAAGCATCCAACCTATGTTTGAAGCTATTCAGCGTATTCGAGTTAATGATGATATTTGGTAACTTGTTCCATTCATCCACTACTCTGTTTCCAAACCAGTGTTTACCTATTTCACGCCTAAATCTAAATTTGTCAAATTCAAAACCATTGTTACGAGTTCGCTCCTGGTTGGATCGTTTGAGTACCTTTGTAATGTCCCCTTTGTTTTGCCCTGACTTCCACTTATACACCTATATTAGGCCGCCCCTCGCTCTACGTCTCTCGAGGGAGTGCAAATTAAGGTGCTTTAACCTGTCTCTATACTCAAGGTTCCTAATGCCCGGGATTAGTCTTGTCATTCTCTGAATTCTTTCTAGGGATTCTATATCCATTCTGTAATACTGTGACCAGAACTGAACTGCGTAATCCAGGTGAGGTCTCACAAGAGCAAGATACAGTTTTAGGATGACCTCGCTAGTCTTGTAACTAATACTCCTTTGTATGAACCCAAGTACTTTATTAGCCTTGTTACGAGCAAAAACACATTGTTTACTTGGCTTAAGGTTCCTACTTATCATTACTCCTAAATCTCTCTCGCAGTCGGATTTCTCTATGGCATCGTTGTTCATCTGGTGTCTGGTTTCCCTGTTTACATCCCCTATACTGAGTACTTTACATTTGTCCACGTTGAATTTCATCTGCCATTTTTCAGACCATTCGAAAAATTTGTTTAGATCTTCCTGTAGTTTTGCGGAGTCCTCGTCAGATTTAATAACACGTCCTATTTTAGTGTCATCAGCAAATTTACTTATGTTGCTGTCTATGCCGATATCTATGTCGTTTATGTATATAATAAATAATAATGGTCCAAGTACTGAGCCTTGGGGAACTCCACTTATGACGTTGCTCCAATGGGACTTAGTGCCGTTAATGCTCACTCTCTGTTTCCTGTCCTGTAACCACGCCCTAATCCATTTAAGGCTGTTACCTTTGATGCCATGTGCTTCTACCTTTCTAATTAGTCTTTCGTGGGGGACTCTGTCGAAGGCTTTGCTAAAGTCGAGATATACCACATCATAATTGTGCCCCTCGTCCACCGATTCGAAAACTGATGAAAAGAATGTTAATAGATTAGTTAGACAAGAACGTCCGCTTGTGAAGCCTGCTGGGAATCATTGATCAATCGGTGCTTCTCCAGGTGATTTCGAATAGAGTTTGAAATGATTGCTTCCAGTAATTTGCCTACTATTGATGTGATTTGGCCTTATGAATGTGCTAATTAGGTCAATTATGCAAAATTCTCAATATATGCAAATTAGCATCCGGCAGCTTCTGAGTCCTCACGACCAGTACATTGCATTTCCAGCATAAAACCATATTGTACTCGACAGTTCTAGGTTCACCTCCTTGGCTAGCAAACTATAAATATCACTGTATGGGTTTATACTAAGACGTGGCATAATTTCATGTTATTCTCAATATGTAGTTTATTACTTCTTTATAAGGTAATATATTGTAATTATTAATATATTCTGTATTGCTGTTGGTTGCATCATGTGGTGAAGTTACAGACACACAAACACCGGATTCTTTTAGTTCATGGGATAGTGAACCTGTCGTAGACCTGTCAACCCTGCTGCATCTTACAATAGCACAGTTGTACTAACTGTACATGAACTTTTCTCACGGTACAGTAAGGTCTGGCTCCTCTGTAAGTAAGATATATATATCTATATAATATTACTAATATCTATTGAAAGTTTCTCAAGCTTATAAAATATAATAATGCTGTGAAGTTATTTATAGTTTCATAGTCATTAGTTCTACGTATTGAAGATATTTTAGCTACATAGAATGGTATGTATCTTAATATGATAACAAATATTATAAGTTGTACTGTGCATTCAATCCCGATGGCAAATACTTCATTTCGTAAATTTTATATAAATAAAAAACATGGCAGTAATGTTTACGTCAAGTCTGAGAACTGTGGTGGAGGACACGAGTGAGGGAACCACTACGCAGGTTGGTGGTGTGTGCTCTACCTTGTGTATTAATAATCTAGTTTGTATCAGTTGTTGCAATGTACACTTTGGGTCAAATTATCAACAGGATAATAAATTAAGGGTTATGTTTATGCAATCATTTATGGGGAAGATGATATTTGTTGTTATTGACCAGAGAACCACCCTACGTTACTACTTCGTCATCACAACACATTGATCACAAGGGTGGGAGGCGGGGCTACTCCACTTAATACAAGGCTCCCGTGACACCACATATTACACTCCTGACTACGGCCAATCGGCTAAAACTCCCTAAACCCACTAGGATATTTTGATTGGCCATGTGAAGCTCTCCTGATGTGAAATGTGAAATTTTTGTGGGCACACTCACCACAAGTGTTATCCAGCGAAGATATTTTTATTCCAAGAAATTAGTGTTTTTGCTTATATTTGAGCATATCTATAAGCACAATACTACTATGGCAACCCTATTTGACCAGTACGAATCCCTCCAGTATGGGGTGGGTGGAGGTCCAATGCATTCCATACTTGGCACCACGACGTTTAGGAACCAGAAGTTGGAGGAGGAAGCAGCAATATTTTTGAAAGACCGCCAAGTGAATTTCTGTCCCACACATCCAATTTCTCATTTGGTTGTATCTAACCATCACCTGGTCTTGGCTATGGCAAACAAGAAGTTAATAAGAATAAATTTGATTCACCCTAATGCTGGCACTATAGAAGATCAAGAGGTGGACATTAGCAAGTTTGCCTTGCAAGCAAAAATTCACAACATCTTTCTTGACCCTACAGGACAACATCTGTTGATCAGCATTGTGAGTAGGGATGGATCAACACCTGTGGACACACTTTATTTACCTTTACGCACCAACAAACCTAAGTCGACGAGCAAGCTGAAAGGTCATCTTGTAACGGCAGTTGGGTGGAATCAGAGAAACCAGTCGGATAGTGTTACAGGACCAATTTTGATTGGAACAGGAAGAGGAGTGATTTTAGAAACTGAACTCACTTCAGACGAAAGATTTTTCCAGTCGAGCCATGAGGAGTACTGCAAACAAGTCTTCGACATTGGGAAGGACGTGCCCGTTACTGTAACAGCATTAGAAGTCCGTAGCAGTCCAGTGGATGAGCTGAAGTTTCTTGTCTTGTGTACTACACCAGACAAGCTTTATCAGTTTTCTGGCCGTGTAAAGTCTTTGGAGGAGAGGCCAATGCTTATGTCTGTTTTCAGTAATTATTTGGGATTGCCTCCAAGATTTGTAGAATTACCAAGCAAATGGAAAAGTTCGTGGCTCCAGCTGTATCATCCCCCAAATTCTTCAACCCCAAAACACTTTGCTTGGCTGTCTGAACAGGGTGTGTACACTGGTGATATTGTTTGGGGTGGAGCGCCAGATGATATGACCATCAATAAAAGACTCCATGCAAACCCAGAAGGGATGGAGGGTATTGGTATTCCCTGTGGTATGATTGTTTGTGAATTTCATGTTCTTGTTGTGTGGCCTGATAAGATACGTGGACTGTGTATTCTTAATAATCAGGTTGTGTTTGAGGGTACAGTTCCAGAAGAGTGTGGAAAATTGATTGGCATATCCAAAGATTTGGTGAAAGGAACTATTTGGATTTATGCAGAGAGAGGTGTTTTCAAGTATAAAGTTGATCGGGAAGGACGGAATGTGTGGCGAATATATTTAGACCAGGGAAATTATGAATTGGCAAAGAAACATTGTAATTCAGACCCATCATGTTTATCTGTTGTACTGTTGCAAGAGGCCCAAGATCTTTTTCAAAAGGAAGAATATCTTCAGAGTGCAATGCTTTTTGCTAAAACATTAACTTCATTTGAAGAAATAAGTTTAAAGTTTGTTGAGGTAGAAGAGGAGGAAGCCCTCAAGGTCTACTTGCATGAAAAGTTGGATGCCTTAAAAGTGAGTGAACAAACTCAAGTTACTCTTGTTGTGATGTGGTTACTTGAGTTGTACCTGAAGCAATTAGGAAACTTACGTGATGCAGGGAAGGAGAACACTCAGGAGTACTCCAACTACAATGAGCACCTTAAATCACTCCTTCATGATCCAAAAGTACTTCAGTGTGTGACAAACAATGCTACTGCTATTTATGAGTTGCTCTCTTCACATGATGATCAAGATAATTATATAAGTGTTTCTTTGATGCTTAAAGACTACGATCGAGTGTTGCTTCATCTTATGGGCCATGGACGTTACATTGAGGCCCTTGATGTTATGTCGACCAGGGGGTCTGAACAACTTTTTTATCAACATTTTCCTGCTCTTTTGCAAGCAGCACCAAGTGCTGCAGTAGATGCATTAATTTTACAAGGTAGAAGGATAAATTCCATAAAATTACTACCGAGCCTTGTTCATTGTCACACTTCACATGGCAGTGGAGCAGAGATTCTTCGTTATTTAGAATACTGTGTTGACAAACTAGAAGTCACTGATGAAGTTTTGCATAATTTCTTAATAACTCTTTATGCTGCTGAGGCTCCAGATAAGTTATTGCCTTATTTCAAACTGCAGGGGGATGACAGCCAGAGTGTCCATTATGATGTCAAATTTGCCCTTAGAGAATGTATGTCTGTTGGGGAAGACAAGGCCTGTGTGCACATCCTTACCACTATGGGTCTTTATCAAGAGGCTGTAGAATTGGCTCTGAAGTTAGATACGTCTTTGGCAAAGGCAACTGCAAACCGTCCCAAGTATGACCAAGATTTGAGGAAGAAGCTTTGGCTGATGATTGCTGCACATGTGGTACAGGAAGAACAGAATGTGTCTCGTGCCATGGAGGTCCTGAAAGAATGTGATCTTATAAAAATTGAGGATATACTTCCCTTTTTCCCAGACTTTGTTACAATTGACCAGTTTAAAGATGCTATCTGCTCATCTCTTCAAGAATATAACCAGCACATTGAAGATCTTAAACAAGAGATGGACGATGCATCTAAAGCAGCAGAAAATATCCGTAAAGATATTCAGAAGTTCAAGCAGAAGTTTTCTCGTGTACATGCACAAGATCGTTGTTGTGAATGTAACTATCCCCTTCTAACTAGACCATTTTACTTGTTTCCTTGCTCTCACAAGTTCCATCAAGACTGTTTGTCAGATTCAGTAATGGGCTATCTTAGTGAAGCAAAACAAAAGAAAGTTTCAGAGTTGAAGGGGAAACTTTTGGCTCTATCAAATGATGAGAGTGGAGCTAGTACTGGTGCTACAGGTGTATGGGGTGATAGGGAACAGATCAGAGCAGATATAGATAACTTGGTGGCAGGAGAATGCCTCTACTGTGGTGACAATGTTGTGGCAAATATTGACACACCATTTATCAGCAATCGGGACTGGGATGCTCTGATGGCTGAATGGCAGTAAAGAAACATTTCCTTTCACTGTAAATTTCACATGTCATAAAACCAAATCATTATATTGTTTTACATTTATTACTGTATGTACACTGAATTTATTATTACATTATCTTGACATAGCTTTTGTAATTTAATCAATACGGTACGATGCACTATATGACTTGATGCAGGACTGCAGAATCTTATGTTTGTACACAATTCAGCTCATGTCTTTTGTAAAATTAAGGTTAAAGTGATGAAGTTTATTATATTCATTTGCGATGTTGTACAGTAATCAAATGTTTTTGCATATTATATTATTGTTTTTTAAATTATGGAGATACAGTACAGTATATCATATGAAGATGCCTTTCAGAAACTATCAATAAAATACAAAGTTATATACTGTAGACTTTACTTTATTCCTGTTTTCTTCTTGATTTAGTAATGGTATATACAACTCCTCCCCGACTTACGACCACCCGCACTTACTACCTACCTCAGCCGTACCAAAATTTTGTCAATTTACTTATTTTCGAGTCCCAACGTCAGTGATTGCGCTGTGTACTGACAGAATTTTTGTTTGTAATTCACCTTAAACTGTCTGGCAAGCTTAAAAGTGAGAGTTTTGTGGTGCTGAGAAGAAAAAGAGACACCCATTTTAGATTTTCTATGTATTATTTAAGCATTTTCGACTTGCGACCATTTCAACTTATGACCTGGATTTGGGTCCCTAACCCCGTTGTAAGTCGGGGAGGAGCTGTACTGTATCCAGATGTTAAAATATTGTACAGTAAGAGTGTAATCCAGATGAACTAGATCCATCAGATTTGATTAACATAATACTGTAGTCATAGGTGGACCCTTCTCAGTCAATCTTTGTGTTGGGTCCATCGCATGGTGTCAATGAGAAAAAATTTGAAATGAAGGAAAATGGGATTTGAAGGCAAAACAGAACTGAAACGATTTTACAAATTTACATTTTATTTAACTGCTTGTATGGTTATATACACTTGTGCCAGCTCAATAATTTTAGGTTATGGAATTGTCATTCTGAGGCTCTGTTGTGACATCTTGCTTGTCAGGTCCAAACACCTGGACTTCTATCCTATACTGTACTGTAGAAATGAGGTCCTGTACTGTTATATAATGAAAAGTGTTTTTGATATACAGTACAGGCTTACTGACATGAAATTGAGATGCTGTAGTATCTGTAATTCATTGAAGTAAAATAAGGCAGTAATACAGTTTTTATTTTTCAGGCCGTGAATTGAGACAAATAAATGAAGGTTAGGCAATAAGGACTAATTGAAAGGTCGCCGGACCTCACACCCCTTAATTTCTTCCTTTGGGGTTACTTAAATAGCTCTTGGATGATTTGATAAACAAAATTTAGGTGACCCAATAAGAAGCAGCTGAGAGTGTGAAGTCTGGTGACCTCTATGGCTATTCTGATGGTCCTTGTTGCTCAATCTTTGTTTATTTGCAATGATAACCTTATTTGAAAAAGAAAAGAAGAGAACGTTAATTGTCCTGTGTTGGGTGATCTTTAAGACACCCTTCTCATTACATATATACTGAACTGAAAGAACAGTCATTGAAGTGAGGAACATTGTACTGTATTCCTGTATTGACAGACAGACAGATGCAAATTTATTTGGCTTAGATTTTTACAGAGTACATATGGAGCACAGCTTATCACAACAATCACACATCAAAATTACAACTTACTGTACTTTTAATACATTTACCAGTACATTATAAAAAATGGTTATATGTTGGTATGAACTACAGTACTGTATCTCTTAATCTACCTAAACATATCTATTACAAATTTCACAAACCATTAGGTTACAAATGGTTCTTAAATTAGTCTCTCCACCAATATTTGAAGTTTACTCATATATGTCTTACTTTTTTCTATCTTATCTTTATAATTTCAGTCTCTCCTCGACTTATGATGGGGTTCATTCCCGACGACCAGGTCGAAAAAGCGAAAAATAATGCAGAGAAATTCTAAAATGAAATACAGTACAGTAAAAGTAATCAATAATGAAAAATTAATAAAGTGTTACTGTGAACTTAACTTTAATGTAGAATAGCTGAATGCACACGGGGCCTCAATATTTTTTTAATTAAGCACGTAGACTACATTAATTGGATGAAGCAGAGGAGGAGACAGGGCTGGGTGGGTCATCAATTTCGCTTTCTTCAGACAGGCTATCATACTTGCTTGAAGGTATTGGATCATCTTTAGGGAGTGAAGAGGCAGCAGTGGTGGAGTGTGAGGAGACAGCAGTGGGGTCTTCTTAAAAAATATGTCCAATTTAGACAGCACAGTTTGCCTTTTCTTTTCATTGTAAATCTCCCTGTAGCAAGCAAGTGCATCTTGGATCAGTCTGTCAACTTTTGCAAAACACTCAACATTTTGATCCATTTCTTCAAACATTTGCATCCCCTTATTAATAGTAGCAAATGCCTCTGCCATTTGTTTCACTGAAATCTTTTTGGGGGGTGCAGGTTCTTCTACATTTTGTCTCTCTTCTTCCTCTGCAATTTTCTGTGCATCCAGTTTAATAAGATCCTTGTTACTTAGCTCTTTTGCTACACTTTCCACCAACTGCTCAACATCTTCATTATAAGTTTCTAACTCGGCTGTTGACCCATCTGCACTATCTTGTTACTAATCTCAGAAATTGCTTCATCTTCATTAAATCCTTTGAAACTGTTCACATATCTTTTCAGTACCTTTTTCCATATTCCATTCATGCACTGACCTGTAACCTCATCCCATGCTGCAGCTATGTTCTTTTTACATTGCAAAATGTTGTAGTCCTTCCAAAACTCTCCGAGCGTTTTCTCACCTTCAGTAGCAGCAATAGCCTGAGCAAAGGTCGTACGTAAATAATACGCTTTAAAAGCAGCAATAGAGGTAGTGTTAGGTGGAAGGTAGACTACCTTAACATCAGGCTGCAGGTCGTCCAGGTATGGTGGGTGTCCCGGAGCATTATCTAAAATTAATAAAATCTTCAACGCAACCCCTTACTGCAGACAATACTCCTTGGCTCGTGGAATGAAACAACTCGAGAACCAATCCTCAAACAGTGCTAGGGTTATCCATGCTTTCTTATTACTGCAATAAAACACTGGCAGTGTGTGTGCTTGCTGACATTTTTAAAAGCCCTTTGGCTCTCTGAATGATATATCATGAAGGGTTTTACCTTGAAAACAGTTACATTCCCCCCAACAGAAGTGTGATTCGGTCCTTGAATCCCGGCATGGTTTTCGCCTCTTTGTGGATGTATGTCCGTTCTGGCATGCGCTTCCAGAATAAATCAGTTTCATCCACATTAAATATTTGCTCAGGCAAATAATTTCCTTCCACGATGACACGATCTAGCTCCTCCTTAAAAGCTTCGTCAGCACCCTCATCAGCACTTGCTGCCTCTCCACTCACCTTTACACTGTGCAAACTGTAATGTTTCTTAAACCTTTGGAACCACCCATAACTTGCTGTGAAGTTTTGGTCGTACTCATCTCCTGCCTACTCTTTCAGGCTTTCAAAAAGGCTTCTCGCCTTAGCCTGAATGATTAAAAGGCTTAAGGGTATACGCTTTTGCAGCTGATCTTCCATCCACATCACAAGTAATTTTTCCATCTCATGAAGAGGACCTTGTCTTTTTTTCGTTATTATTGTTTCCTTTATACTGTAGGTGCTGACCCTTTCGCTACCTCACGAATTCGTTCCTTATCCTTCAAAATTGTTGATATTGTCGAGTGAGAGAAGCCAAGGTTGAGTGAAATGGTTGCTACCATTTTTCCATTTTCATATGGCATTATTATTTTCATTTTCATCTCAAAAGTAATTGACTGTCTCTTTTTCTTCTCAGTACCACGAGAACTCTCACTTTTATGCTTGCCAGTCATTTTGAAGGGAATTAAAAACGAAAATTTTGTCAGTACACAGTGCGATCACTAACAACAACAACGACGACCAAACGCTAACTGAGCCGCTACGGCGTGGATGCTCTACACCATGAGGCGGCTCGGCCCATGCTGTCATACGGGGTCACATTACGACAAAACATTCCGGGACTTGAAAATACGTAATGTGAAAAATATTTTATATGACCACGGCGGTCGTGGTCGTATGTCCGGGTTGTTGTAAGTCGAGGAGAGACTGTACATTCATTTTTATTCTCTGTCTATGTGTTGCTTTGTGATATTACTTTCTACTTACCCAACATTACTGGTCATGACCTGTTACACTTTCACTGTTACTCTTTTTGACAAATTTCTAATCCTTTCTTCTGGGGACCATCTTCACTGCTGATTTCATAAGTATTTTTTTTAATTTGTCATTTACCTGGTCCACAGACATAAAATCAATATTGATAGAATTCTTTGCATATATTCATTATCCACATTACTGTACTAATACAGTAGAAGTCCAAAAATCCGGACTGCTTGGGGATTGGGTCGGTCCCGATTTTCGGATTTTCCGGATTCTCAGGCAGTACTTTTAAAATTCAAATTTCAGGAGAAATAAAGAAGAGATGAACAGGTACATTTTGATAGTTTATTCATTAGCAAATATAGCATGCTTCATTTATCAAAACGAGCAGTTTTAAAGATAAAGCTGTGAATTCTAAAATTTTATTCTTTGCCTTTTTCATATCATAAATTGTAGACTTTCCAATGTCGTATGTTTCCATTAGATCAGTATTGCTCACACCACTTTCTAGTTTCTTAATTATTTCAAGTTTGTCACTCAATTTCAATGTGTTCTTCTTTCTCTTCACACAATGAAGTTTATCTACTTTAGGAGCCATAATTATGGGCTTGTACTCTGTAAATGGAAACAGTAGGACTCAAAATTACATATGTTGTCACGGTTTTATTGCTTGTTTTAAAGTGGCGATCGCGTGGTCGCTGTGTAGCTGTGGCGTTCAGGCATGCACACATACAGTACACACAAAAGATTTATAGTGCCACAAATTTTACATTTGAGGACAAGCTAATTACAAAACTAACAAAATTAGCTACCTATAATTTACAATTACTTTTATTATTAGAATTATGTAAATTAATTTTTTTAAAGGAACGCCATTCATTCACGTAACCCACAAAAGCCCGCTAAATTTAAAAAGTTTGAAAGTTTTCGAAAAGTCCGGATTCTCGGGTGGTCCGGATTTCTGGCATCCGGATTTTTGGACTTTTACTGTATATTCCTCTACGTATTTTGTTTTTGTTCCACCTACCCAGTTTATCAATATATCCACTTTCATTTTGATTATACTGTACAGTACTTACATTTACCTTATCCTCTTGTAATGGCATCTCAAAATTTAAATCTGCATAAATACCTCAATGAACACCTGAAAATAAGGGATCAAAGTCTAAAA